TTTCTGTTCTATCTTGTGTACTCAAACCCACTTCATTTGCTTTGAGCAATGATTCTCAACCTTGACAACTTTAAGATGTGTGGACTTCAGTTACCAGAAATCCCCAGCTAGCGTGGTATAAGGATATCTATTGAAGTCCACACAGCTTAAAAGTTGCCAAGGAACACTGCTTTAGAGTATTGCTTGAGGATTATATCATATAGATCAAGAACTTGCAGCCTACGAGATATTACAGAATTACAACTCCCATCATCTGTCATCATTGGCTATGTTCCTGAGTGCTGTCAGCTGTAGTTTAGTAATTGCTGAACCCAGTGGTGGGATTCAGCCAGTTCGTACCAGTTTGGCAGAACCAGTAGCTAATTTTTTGTTATCCAGGCCCAGAATGGACTTCCTGAAGCAGCATCTATGCAGAGAACCGGTTGTTTGCATATTTGAATCCCACCACTGGCTGAACCCCATATTTCACTGTTTTTACTCTAGGGTGTTGTGATTATGAAGAGAACAATTTCTCAGTGAAATGGTTTTGTCATGCTTTTGCACACAAGGCACATTATATTCAGATATTTTAAATCTGGACAGTAGCTATTAAAATACTTACCTGTGTAGCCTGAGAGCAAGATTTAGCAACAGTTTTATTTTAGCTGTTGTGTATTTGCCTACTTTATCAATGCAGAATATTATATGTATGCCCTTTACATAGGTCCACAGCCCAGTGAGTGAAAGGAGTATATACTTACTTTGTGATGACATCTGCACACATTGATTTTGTGCTTTTATAGAATTTTAGTTTTCAGAAAAATAATCCAATTCCACAGAAATAATCCAACAGGGCCTTTAAATAAAATCTTATGAAATAGAAAGCATGGGCTAGAGGTGAGAATGTGTAATTCCATTTTTGCTGTTTTACTACCAAATCCCCCTCAACAATTCTTATTCCATAACGGTTAAGGAGAGATTTCTCAACCAATGAGCATTTTCCAGATGTGTTGAACTTCAGCTCCCATAACATGTAGCTTGTCTAGTCTTCAATAGGTTTGCAGAGTGCAAGGGTGGTGAAAGGTGGCTCCTGTGATTACAGGCGTGCTCTCTACAAGAATAGTTTCAGTCACAATTTATCACCTTGTTTTAGTGTCCTAGAAGTGAATAGTACAATGACTGCCACTGCTATATATATAAAAAATACTGTTCTCTGGAAAGGTTACATATTATACAGGAGACAACTTTTAACAAATTGTTAAAATATTTTCATAGTTGTGAACTGGAGATACTTCAGTCCTTTTCAGTTTTATCTGAAACTCCCTTAATTGTTTAGGTCAGTGGTCCTCAACCTTTCTGGCTCTGCGGACCTACAGCGGTAATGGTGGCAGGGTGGAGAGGGGATGATTTCATGCACGTGCCCGCCACTTAGACAAATGGAGCTTCCTGTGCTCACCCACCACTTGTGTTGCCTGGTTACCAATAGGCTGCAGCCTGGTACTGGGCTGCCGACTGGGGGTTGGGAATCCGTTTTAGGTTTACAAATTTAGTTCATTACTGTTAATGGATTCTATCTGTGATCAGCAGTGACTAATAGATCTAATAATATGAATTATATTTACTAAAAATAATAAGAGTTTGGAAATTCTACAAAGTTTTCAATGTATTACAGTTGTGAAATTAAAGACTGCCTTTCTTTCTGAAACATGCTACTGAATTTTTAGCATCTGAAGACAATAAATTAATTTTAAATAAATTAATTTTAAACAAACTGTATCCATTACTATGCAACAAATACAACTGGTATCTTCAGTGGTTTATGGTATTCCTAAAAATGTGTATATGCCAGAAGTTTAAGGCTATGTACAGTATGTTTGTGCGTCCACGCTTGTGTGTATTCAAATGAGGGAGAGAACATATTGCCCATGATACTAATTTTGATGTGCACGCTATAATTTGATATAGAATGCATCCTGGACCTTACTTATATATGTTAGGTTGTTTTATAAATGTATTTTAACTTTGTCTTAAACTTTATTTTGTTTATCATTTAAGATCTATGGCATGCAAAGAGTTATAAAGGCGGGGCTCATATAGTGTATTCACAGAATACTCTGCTTGAGCTGGTCTACAGCCAGAATCAAATGAACTGAACTGAACTGCCCAATCAAAATCTTGCCCATTTATGTAACAGCTATTCTTAAAAAGAAGAGGATAATACAAATTGGAAAAATAATTTTCCTTACTTGTTTTACAATATATACCTGCTAAGATTCAGAAAAAAAAGGAAAGGAAAGGAAACAGAAAAGAAAAGAATACACATATTAATTTCAAGTTAACAAATGTTTTGGGTTATAGTCATATTTTCAAAAAGCAGTCAGTGATTTATGATTTGGAATATTTTCACCAAAGCCCTCGAGGTTCTGAAAATAACACAGCCTACATAAATTGACATGAGCAAGCTTTTTTTAATAAATAAAATCCCATAGAAGCAGAATATATTTAAACTCAAACCAAAATTATAATTATAATTCACATGAGAAAATACTAGGACTTTAGAAAAAGGGTTTTTCCCTGAAGTGGCTGAATGGTCTAATTAAATACAGAACTCATGGTGAAAATCTTTTTTTCTTATTTCAAACCCTGACACATGTTTAAAAGGTTATATATTCTTCTACCTCATTCATAATTCTGCTTATCACTTTTAAACAGATAAATGGCTAGATTCTGGAACACCATTTTTGCAAGAAAAAGCAATTCTAATATGAAAAGTGTAATATGATATCTAAGCTATAATATAAATTTTATTTATCACTTTACATTTTCAATTTTTCTCAAGCTACTAGCACCAGTTGAAATCAAAATCTGAAATAGGCAATTTCCTTATTTTCAGTAAGGAAATTAAAAAATGGCATTTTATTGGCGGCACATTGGATTGCTACTCTGACTTGATCTAGAAGCTCTCATTAAATTCTTAAATATTGTGCTTCCCACTTGTAAATCATTCATGGAAAGCAGAAGTGAGAAACAGCTGGAAATCAATGTCATCAAATCTCCTTTGCAGATATTCTAGAATTCTAATTTACTACTATTTGCCAAGTATTGAATACACATTTCCACATAGAATAAATATCCTGCCAAACCAACTCATCAGAATGGAATCAGTGTTAGCCAATTGTATCTAACATGTCACAAGTTGCAAAATTTAAGAACACACTTTATGTTCAAGCTTTGTACCTTGATTAAATATACAATATATAAACCATGGGGAATCAGGGTGTAGTGAATAACTCTCCTTCTCAGTTTTGATAATAAATACAGTTCACATTTGAATTGCCTTAGATATGCAATCCTATTGGTTTGATTCACCAATGTACACTTCTCCATATCTCCTGGTATGGTTTTGTTCATTGTGTTGGAAGCACATCAGAAGTTTAAATGTATAAGACTCTTAGATTTGATCCCTGGCAGTACCATTCTAGGAGCAGCCAATCGATGGTTATATCCTTCTGGAGAGAACCACAATTGTGTTCAAGGCAGAGATTAGCAAGTTCAACCCTCTTTAGAAGCATGGCTGCTGATAGGCTAACTCCCCATGACCTGTAATGGTACTTCCTTGTTATTTCCAACTATTCCCCTTAGAGAATTTTTGAGAGAAGATTTGATGATCCACAGTGGATGAAAAACCTGATTAAGACTATATGTTTATTCACAGTTTATAGCAAAGACAGGTAACTTACTTCATTCAGATGTTGCTATGCTATCACTCCTAGCATCCCTCACCACTGGCCTTGGGAGACTGGAAGCTCTAATTCAGCAATATCTGAACTACCACTTGTTATCTACCTCTGATTTAATTCACTCTCACTATGGAGAATTTCCCTGAGCCATAGTATTTAGATCATGGTTATCAGTACTTTGTCTGCAATGGTGTAATTTTCAGGCCATTTATACCATTCTAAACCTTCAGCATTAGCAGCATATTTACAGAAGGGATAAAGATGCTTTCTACATTTCCATTTTGGCTCAGCTCCCATACTCCCAGCATATCAAAAGCAGGACGGATGCACCATCTGTCTGAACAGGGATACCAGTGGACCTTCCAAAGTCACCAAGCATTTCCAGTGAAGAACAATTTCCTTTCTCAGTCAGAAGTTGATGAATGCTATCTTGTTCCAACTTGCTGCCCTATAAATACTAATCCAAACAGCAGTCCCATAAAATCTGCCCTGTTGCTTTGCAACGGTTTGGCTTGCTTGAGGGCAATCACATGAGGGATCTCGCTGCCAGCTTTGCCAAGATCAAAAGAGCCTGCTGCTACCACCTCCACCAACACCGGCACACACACAGGGAGTGTTTTACATCTCAGGGCAAATCTGATTTTCTGGTCCTGTGCCAAACTACCGCTAGAGGCAGCAGAGAAAGGCTGTGCAGCTCACATTTGAAATCAGCATACAATATAAACGAAGCATTAAAAAAAAAAAGCATAAAACTAATTTTGGACGATGTATCCTAAGCACCTTGAAATGTACATATATTATTTAATATAAATGTAAATCATAAATATTCATTCTTCTGGCAGTCTCTTTCAAACGCAGCTAAATGTCAAGAATATTTTAACAACACCCCCACCCAGCTAATTATATTTTTAAAATTGGGGCCTTTTTGCCCCTTTCTGAAAAATCTTATTTAAAAGTTAGATATACGTAATTTGAGCACTGTAAAATAACGCAGTGACCTGTATAACTGTTTTGATTCACAACCACATCAAGATCCAGAAAACTTTCCTCAAGGGGGAAATTACTCTTCTTTGCAGTGGAGCTCATCTATACTTTTACGCCATTGTTATTTTTAAGGTTGAAAAAGCAGTGCTATTGTATCAAACAAGTCAGGAAAAAAGAATCTGCTAAATACGGTCAACATTTTGATGATATAGACATTTTAATATTTAAAGCAAATTGTAAATGTATTTTTATAAACAATATGCATAAAATAGATCTATAATAGTAAAGTTCTGTCTCTTTTTAAATGTTTTTTTTTTCACAGTAATTTCTTAGGTATGTAATATTTTCCCTCTTAAAGAAATAGTGCAATTTGATGAACGTACTTAAGTAAATGAATTAGAAATCTGATGACCCTTAATACAAATCCTTGTAAATTTCTTGTAGGAGTGGATGAAGGCTCATATCTGTCTCCGTCTTCTTTATAATTTGCAACAGCTGCACATGTTCTGTTACAATCTGTCTGAGGTCTGTCATTTTCTGCAACAATTTTGCAAACAGCTGTGATGATTCTGGGTGATTCAGCTTTAATTGGAGTTCTAGCGATTGCAGCAAACTATCTTGAATATCTTCAATAGGCTTCACATTCAGTAATCCAGGGCGATCTAGAAGCAAATAAAACCATTTGTTTTAAAATGTATGTAGCTACATGACCATTCGTATAGCTGAACAATAAAGGTGTCTGCAGCAGTTCTAGCACTGCGGAAGCTACCTGAGCTGGAATTACCATACATTTTTGACTGCCACAAAAGTCTGCTTTTTAGGGTCAGAGATATTTTCTAGTTTCAGTTCAGTAGTGATTCTCCCTTCACACACAATTTTACCTGTACCTCTTTCCATTGTATTTTTCTTGCCATTTGATTATGATTTTTATTTAACATGTAGTTGTTGACAACATTCAGCTAGCTCTCTACCAGGTGGACACCAGGTCCACAACTTAATTGTATTCCTGTCTTTGTGTTGCACTTTTGGACAAATGGAGAAACTCTACAATTCTAGAAGCAAAAGGGATGAAAATACAGCCAAATGTTGCTAATAACTGTGCACAATGTTCTTATTTTGACAACATTTGCAAGTGACCATTGCTGCCTCTCTTGATAATATATAATCTCCTAAACTCACTTGGCAATGTGAAACCACATCTTAATGACCAGAATCCACTGGTTTCATGCTGCAAGGTGAAAGTTAATAAGTAAAACAATTGCTAAGTCAATCAAGTAAGTGGACAAGCTGGGTGTCATCTTGTTATGTATGAGGGCATCGGGTTCAGGCTCAGATGTCTTATAAGGTATACTGTACAGCTTTCACTAACCTAGTGCCCTCCAGCTGTATTGTAAGAAATTTCCATTTGTCCCATTCAGAATGCTCATGGGGACAATGATAATGATGATGCAAGTCACACAACACCAACAAAAAAAGGCTGATCTGTTGTTGTCTATGATTTACAGACTGAACAGAGGAGGGAACAGAGCAAATGACACCCTCACATGACAAAGTTCCTCCATCATCAAAGAATAAAGGGAAGAAGACTCCTAAAGTCAACAAAGGATGACTTTAGGAGTTGTGCAAGTTTTTGGATACCTAACAGAAAACCCAATGTCATTTCCCTGATTTGGCCTATAAAGACCAGATATTTCATGGTGGCCATTCCTGCAGTTTTTATAGAACAATTCTTATACACGAAAGGCTAACTTCCTTGATCAATTAAGCTTGCAGCTCAAACTCCAGAGGCCCAAATTGACTGCTATTAAGTTATTTAAATAAAGCTGTTGATTACATTGCCAGGTTTAAGTTCTCAGTTTTGTCACTGGAATTTGATTTTATTCAAGGTCATAGTAATTGTATGGTGTTAAGTGAAGGAAGTTAAAACAATAACAGACAAGAAAGCAAGAAATCAGCTCTGTGTCTGTTTAAAGGAGTTCATGTAGGCTGAACTAGTTCTTGTAAGGATTTACAACCTGGTTATATAAACCACAAAATGACTTATTTACCCTAGGTGTCAAAAAAAGGCAGCATTCCATATAAACTGGAACTGAATTACTCGATAGTATCTTCATAACTTGGGTTTTTACATTATAATTCACACTGACTAACTAGACCTAATGTTATAGGAAATTTTATAATCCCCCTAAATTTTACATAACAAGCGTATAGAACCATTTTTCTCAAGTGTTTTATTTTTTTCTCAGAAATCATAAGGTTATCGCTACCACTACCGAATTCTAAACCCAATCCATAAAAAATAAGCAATACTAATATTCTACTTTAAAAAACGAGGAAGGAATAACACTAGAGTATAAAAAAGGACCCACAGAAAAGCTGTGTCAAAAAGAGTAGGCATACTGGGCTTATATTATTTTAAGAGTTATATCCTATGATGCCTTTCTGCCAGCAAAAGAGATTCTGCAGTTAGGACAGACTTCCCCCTCTCTCTTTCCTCCTTCCAGTTCCAAATTTGCTCAAGAAGCTTGGAAGAGCACAACAGATTTTTTTTTTCCAGGGGAAAAAAAGGAGAAAAGAAATGAGAGACAAACTCTGTTCGTGTAATATTGCACAAACAGAAGCCTACTCATGTGACACTCAAGGTCATTTATTCAAAACTTTTAGATCTGTCTGCTATGTATGGAGGATATGTGTGCATAAACATTTTAGAGATGTGGAAGTTAATATTTTTTAAAAAATGTTACTTGTCTGGTTTTTGGGAGATCACATAGATTTTAATGGTATTCTGATAATCTGCAAATCCTAAAACATCTGGGTTTGACTCATTGTGCATAAACATAAAATTTAAGCAAATATAAAGTCTGCAGCATCTTTTCCCACTGTTTTTGAAAACCTAGAAAATCTCTTGCTTGCTTCACTAATAGTTAGTCTTTAATGTTGTTAACAATATAGTACTATTCAACTTGTCTAAAAGTAACTTCCTTGCATCCCAAGCAAATACAAAAACTGACTGAATTGTACAGATCCTTTCTACAATAAAAAAAGGATTTTTTTTGGCTTAGACATAATTTTTGTTTTTTGAGTTTATCAAGAGATCCAGATATCTTCTTTGATTTGAGGCCCTTACTTACTTTCTTATTGTTTTGCTTGTTTACCATGATAAAGAACCCCTCCAAAGCAGAAAACCTACATAATGCTTTCTCCAAGAATCTTCCCTCTTAAAGTACCCCCAAATCAAGGCCAAGCTTATGATGCTGAAGCATTTTTTTTAATTATGAAGCCTAATTGGAATTTGAATAGTTGGACACTTCAATGCATTTAAAGATAAATTCCAGACAAAGTCCTAACATAGGGTGGCACACATGCCTGTGTCCCCAAATAGTCATGGATTCTCCTTTTAGGAAACATTAAACAGAAAAGATAAAAACGAACTTCTATAGTTCTTTTAATTTAAAATTAAACTGCAGTTTAGTTAACTACAGATAAACTTTAAGAATACTGCTACTGTAATATCAATAATATCAAAGTTATTTTTGAAAGACTGATAATTACATAAAATATAAAGCTGAAACAATGTTCCCAAAGTAGATGACCATATTTAGAGATAGGCTTTTATCCAATGTGGAAGTCTCTTTTATTCTTCAACATTCTCAAAGAGAACTATACTTTCTGTTAATCATTTACTTACAAAATGTTCATAACAATTATTTTATGTTCTATATACACTTGCAAAATTCCTATGTATTCTTATCTCTTAAGAGCAATTGCTACTGAAGCTCATTTAGAACAAGAATAAGCATTTGGCTGGGAACTCTTATCATAATGTCAGTGTGACTCAGCAATTGCGTGCCTGATTTTAATGAGTACAGAATAAATCAGGTTTTAAATCCAAAGAAACTAGCACTGGCTGCACATATCTTACAAGTTATATAAAAAAAATTCTTAATAGGTGGAGTATCCCTTAAAATTGTTGACTGGTTTGTCCTTTTTAATGAGAGTTTGTCTTTTACAGTCTTTAAGCAGCAATTCCTATACCAGTGGTGGCGAACCTATGGCACGGGTGCCAGAAGCGACACTCAGAGCCCTCTCTGTGGGCACACACGCCATTGTCCCAGTCCTAGGCCTTCAGCTGGGTTTTATAAAACCTTTTCGCTTTAGGCCTCCGCTGCCATGTACAAAAAAAAAAAAGGTTCAATCAATCAGTCAATTTCAATTTCTCACAGGAAAAAAAGATCTTGCAAAGTTGGAACTGATTGATTGAACTTTTTAGTCCCACCCAGTCTGCGGTTACCACTGCAGCCACACCCACCCAATGGGCCACGCCCACCCGGCACCCGACGATGCATAAGTGGGTTTTGGGTGGCAGTTTGGGCACTCGGTCTCTAAAAGGTTCGCCTTCACTGTCCTATACTGATAAAACAGTTCAAGCCCTGAAAAAATGTATTTTCAACTAGACTGGATCCAAGAGAAGCATTTAGCAGATGGCTTTTTTTTACAGGAGACTGTTAATGTAGTATGGGAATCCTCCCGTGGAAAGGGGGAAGCAATCTCTTCTGATCCTATCTCTCCTACGGTAAACTATTCCACTTTTTCTTGAAATTCCCAGAGCAACAAGGAAAGTGGTGATGAAGCTTCAGTGAAATGAAACTGGCAAGGATTATCTCATTCCTCTTGTCTCACAGGAAAGACCATTTTGGCCAGAATTCTGGTAGCAGAATTAAAACTGGATCAAACTATGAAGGAAACTACGACTTAATGCTCATCTTCAAAATCATGTACATTTGTCAATAGTTTCAATTATTCAAACCCCAGTGGATTTATTACTTGATAACCTTTAAACTGTATCACTTCAGGCACAATTATTGGGAATATGTAATATCCTGAATGTACTTTCTGTTGGATTATGCCTGAAGAAGATTTAAAAACAGCAATGGTAAAAAACAGCAGATTGTAGTGTCCATTTTGTGGGAGCTTTATTTTGGGGTAGTCTATAGGCAAATGCATATTAAATCCTTCTAAAAATTTAATTTACAATTGATCTGATTATACATTTGTTGCCAAGTTCACTGAAGATGCTATTTTAAGTATTAAATAGTTATACAAAAACACAGGAGAAACAAAATAGGAAGAGTATTGATGCTGTTGGTGTTGGAGAAGACTCCAGTTTGGTCCAGTAGTTAAGGCACCCAGCTAGAAAGCAGGAGAATGTGAGTTCTAGTCCCACCTTAGGCACGAAAGGCAGCTGGGAAACATTGGGCCAGTTACTCTCTCTCAGCCCAATCCACTTTGCAGGTTTGTTATTGTGAGAAAATAAGAAGGAAGAGAATTAGGTGTGTTCATCATCTTGAGTTATTTATAAAAAGAATAAGTGTGGGATAAAAAAAAATCCAAAATCTAAAAAAAAAAAAAACCCTCCTGAGAACACTGTGGACATCCAAGAAAACAAACCATTGAACAAATCAACCCAGAGTTCCCACTTAACAAACAAATGACTAGACTCAAATTACTCTACTTTGGAGACATGCAAAGACCTAGCTCTCTGGAGATGGCTTTAATATGGAAAAGGTAGAAGGAAAGGAAAGAGGACGATGAATAGCAAAGCGGATAGAGTCAGTTACAGAGATGATAGGGGTTGCTGCTGGAAGAGCTAAGAGTTGACATCAACTTGATGGCATGTAATCAATAAATTAGGGAAAATTTTTCTCACGCAAGAATCTCACAGGTACTAAATGAGGCCTTGCTAGAAATGTCTCCCAGTTAATTCAGTCCAGTTTGCAAAAGACCACTTGGTAAATTTTACCACAAGTTACAGTTGCACCAAAACTTCATAGGGATCAATAAAAGCTTGGAATATCTCTAACAAGGATTGGATTTTGCACATCCAGTCCTAGTAGATCCCATTCTAGAGTTTCCATGTGGACAGAAGAATGGGAAAGGATGTGAATTTATACCTTAGCCCTACTTGCATTGAAAATATATGGATTTAAGCACACCTAATAAAGAAATTAATTTTCACGGATTTTTTTCCAGCAGAACTCAATGTGTATAATATTGGCTTATGGATTTGAATTTTCTCTTGTTTTTTAATTGTAAATACACCCCCACCCACACAGAGTCAATTTTTGGATACAAAATTGCACTATATCAATCAAGTTCAACCAGAAGTGTTTTGCCATCATGTTCAGAAATGCAGCTATTTCCTCTTATCTAGGGCAACCTTTAAAACTGTTTTAACTATCTGTCTACCTATTAGCAATATTAAAAGAAGGATGGGTTGCAATTAGTAACAATTGTCTTTTGTTACAATAAGGATAAAGTTTCTTAATTCATAAACTAATATTTCTGATTTGCTTTTAATAATAGTTAGAATTATCTTTAAAGATATTACTAATATTACTTTGAAAATTCTTACTCAATTTTTTACAACCTAGAAATCTTTATATTCTTGTTTCCCTCCCTTGCATTTCTAAATATCTGTTAAAATAAAATAAAAGAGGTTAAAAAGTATTCATATTTGAAACATCCATAGTTGAGATGTATACAGGTTTCTTTTTTCTTTATGTGTTCAGTGTTTTGAGGAAAGCAAGCAGGAGGACATTTTCTAATCTTTATTATCAAAAAGTACCATCCAACTCAAAGGAATTTCTTGAGATAGAAGGTGACAATCTTGCATTCCAAGACACTGTACTTCTCAAAGCGTTCAATTTAGCTTTTGTTGAATTGTATTATTTAGAGTAGATTCTTGAATTTGTCATATCAAGGTGAAAACAGAGCCACTCAAGAGTCCAATTATCCCAACATCTTTTTCAAGAATTCTTAGTGTATATTCTTGCTAAATGAGATTTTAGTTTAACTAACAACATGTTTTAATGCTGCAGTACCAAGTGAAAAGTAATTAAGCTCCTTTAATCCCGACACTTGTTGAATCAAGCAATTCTCAAATGTAGCTGAGAGAAAGAAGCAGTCAGAGAAGTGAAATTATGTAAGAGTGCTGGTGGTGTCTGGTTCTGTATAAGGAAAACATAGCAATGCCTATGGTGACAAACAATAGCAACTCAACTCAGTAGGGTCACACTGGGGATGTAAAGAATAACAAAGAAACACATAGGTCCATCTGACACTTGTTTGTTTATAGGTGGCCCCATGTTCAGTCTCAAGACTTCTGCTGCAGAATCTGACAAACAACTATTAAACAGAACCAATAATATTGGGTTCCATGGTTTGTTCTGGTATAAGATAGTTTTCCTGGCCTTAGTTTTGTGATTGAACTGCCAGGGCTGCCCAGAGACAGCAGTCTGAAGGCAATCAGGAGTCAAAGGACAATTCAGTTTGCTGGGACCAAAGAACAAGAACTGAAGGACAAGCAGAGGTTCAGATTGAAGGGTGATCAATGGGTACAGAAAGAAACCAGGGCTCCAAAAGATCTGATTCGTCAAGCAAGGATTACTTCACAAAGATTCTTGTATCTTTCTTCCCAAGGGGATCCAATCCAATGACCAGCATGAGTAGAGTTAGTCCAGAGTCTAAAATGAATCAACTGGCTAATATGCAGTCACTGGATATGGAGCAGCTGCACACAGATCCAAAAACTGAGACCGTAAGAACTCCTAGGACTCCTGATACATACTTTTTGGAGGATATTTAAACTCTTTCATGAAGGGCAATTATTCATTTCATTTATCTTCCAAACTGCATATAATAGGATGAGAAAAATGGCCTCAAGAATGTTTGTCCTATCAGGATCATTGCACATATGTAAATTAGGCCTCAGGAGACAAGAGCCTATCCATTAATACAGTAGTAGAGTTTTCAAATCAGGACCACCTAATTTATGAAAGCAGTTCAGGAGGCATTTCTAACTATGCCAGGGATTCAATCAAATTCTCTGTTTTAATGTTCTGAGGGGAAAAGGTACAGTATACCGAAAACCAAAGTACAAGGCTGGTGGGCTAAGTATGGGATGTTTGGGGGGCTCAGAAGTCATGCACCCTGGCTAAATTCTTTGCAAATCAAGGAGAACTATGAAACTTTTTCATACTTACCTCCACTGAGAATAATGACAGCTATAAATATTGCCAAGTCGCTGTCGTCTAATTCCAGTGCATTGAATTTGACAGCAAACTCAAATTTTGGCTCCATAAAGTCACAGAAAGGTTTCCGCAAACTCTTTAGGAATTCCCGAGTCATGAATCCTTGTCCATTGGATATGAGAACACCATCTTTATTCATCATGGAGGCTAGGAGCGTATAGATGATCTCATGCACTCCATACTTCAGGAGAGTTACTTGGTCATTGAGGTCTAAACTCACAAAACCTGGAATGCTTTTGGCAAATTCAGTGATTTCCTGAACAGCTTCCACTGAGCGAAACTGGCAGCGCTGGAAAATACGTATGGCCACTTCTTTGTTTTGCTCTTGCATGGGGCCCAAATGTTTACACTTGATCTGGTCTTCTCCCATCATTAAGGAATTCATGTCATAAATGACGAATGGCTAAAAAAAAAAAGATACAGTTGATGATCAGGATTTTTGCAACATGAAACAGTGACTATCTGAAAAACAGGTTGGAGAAGACAGATTTAAGTGTATAAGTGTGAAGAACTCAGCTGCAATAGGTCTCTCAGTTTTCAAGGACATATTTTGAAGAAAACCATTTTGTTTTGGTAAATAAAGCCCTATGTTTCCCCCTCAAGGTAAACTGCTAAGAAACAGCAATCATTTAAAACCAATAGCATATCTGCTTTATCATTTTGGAAACTTGTTACACCAGCATAATACTGCCATTACAATTAGGCTCCTACATTTTATTACTAAACCTAAACTGTATTTTTATGTTTTTCTGAATTTCCTTGCCATAGATTTGTAATGGGCAATAAAACCCATGGAAAATGTATTGCATGGGATTGGAATATTGTCAGCTGATTCCCTCCACTCCCCATGATCATACACACATTTACTGAATGTTCTTAACCCGGGACTGGAATGTAACACTGTCATCCTCAATGACAGAGAAGAGAAGCTGAAATAGAAAAGCTTACTTGTACCTTAGTTCTAAAACTCATCAAACAACATGGAAGATAAGCCATTACTCCTACAGAAATAGAAGACAGTAGCATTGTGCAGCAAATCCCTTTACGGTATTTTATTGAATTTATCCCTACGTCAATAATACTATTGAATCATTGATTCTTTAAAACAAAAACAGGTAAACAATTGTGATTGATGAACTGCAGATAGATAGATAGATAGATAGATAGATAGACAGACAGACAGACAGACAGACAGACATTGACAGACACACAGACATATCTAGAAGGCTGTTTCATTGTGATCACTTCATAAAGAATGTGTTTCCTCAGAATGTATTCTAAAGTCATCACAATGAACCAGGTAGCTATGTGGATGAAAAGTAGAAGGTGCTGCAGCATTATTTGCTTCAACTGGACTTTGAAGAATTGTTTTTAAAATCAAAGGAATGTCAGACATGGAAAATGATATATAGGAAGAAAGGTGGAAGATCTGATTTCTGCTTTTCTTTCTTACCCATTGAAATCTCTTAAAAATGGGAGAGTTGGAGAACTCCCCAAAAGAGTATGGACCTGTTACTACAGAGGATAAGAGGATTGTCAAAATTCAGATCTGTTGCCTATATAAGGTTAAGATTAAAGGCACCACATGATACTGCAACATGCACTATCCAAACATTTTTTCCTTTCTTATCCAGAGTTGTTAAGTCTGAGATATATCATCTAGCCAGTGCCTATCTGTTTGAATTCTGCACTTTAGTTTTTTCATTTTCTATTATTTTGTTGAGCCACCAGTTCTTGCTGGCAGGCAAATGGTATTTTTTTTTGCAGATATTCCAGTGCACCATTGTTTCTACTTTGTCATGCCATTGTTTAGAGTCAGTCTATGTAATCTTCTGTTGCAATCAACTAAGTTTTTCAACTTCTTTGCAGAGGCCTGCATTTACTATCTGTTGCTGTCCTCTCAATTTTCGCTTTGTATGCATTTGTTCTTAAGGCTTCATCTTATGCAGCCAGAATTTGCCCCCCTGTCTTCAATTTTCCTGCTCTTAGGCATTGCCAAGTCTTGTTATCTGCTTTGCCTGCTATTTTTTAATGTAATACTTTGCCTTGTCATGTCTCTTAACTATCTTTCATTTGGTCTTTCTTGAAGGCCAGTTTGGTCTATACAATACTCAGTGAACCTTCCTAATGAAGTGGGTTCAGTGTATCTTCTCCACTGTCCTTCAGATATTCTTCCAATGTCCTTTTTTTTCCTTCAACTGTCTGGTATACTTGTAATACTCCACACCCACCTATTTTCCTTGGTAAGTAGAGTCTGTCAACATTACTGCGCTGATAAAGGGCATAATTCAATGTCATTATTTTTCTGTTCTTCCTATCCAGAGGTTTAATTCAGTTTCAATCTAGTCTACTATTCCAACTGTGTATTTAATGACTGGAATTGCCCAGGTATTAATTGCCTTAATGGTATTTCCACCAGTGAGTTTGAACTCTAAGATCTTATTCATTCTTCTGATGATCTATTATTAATCTTCTTCTTGACTTCAGTGTGCTCAGATATTTGTAGTGATCTTCATCTAGACTCTTGATGTTATTTCTGTAGTGCATCCTTCAGCTCTCACTATTTTTCCCCTACTGATGGTGAGGGCAATACATTTGTCCAGTGCAAACTCCATTGCAATACCTTGGACAATGTTGAGTAGTAATTCAATTTCAGATAGTGTTTTTCCATACAGCGTCAGATCATCCATGTAAAAGATGTGAGATTGCCTGGCATATGTTTTTGATGTTTGATAATCATAGGGCAACTTTTTCAGTATTGACAGAAGAATCAGTGCAGTGGCAAACAGTAGTGATGATAGTGAGTCGCCCTGTAAAATTCCTCTTTTGATATTAATTTGATATTTACCACCATTGACCAGCAATATTGTTTTCCATTGTGCCATTGATCTCTGCACAAAGCTGCAGATATTTCTACTGACTTATGTTATTTCTAGACACTTGATTATCCAAACATGTGGCAGAATGTCAAATGCCTTTTTGTAGTCAATCCATACTACATTCAGGTTGGTCTTCCTTCTCTTGCAATTTTCCCAAATCATCTGGTCAATTGGACTTGATCTTTTGTTCCTCTGCTGTTTGGGAGGATTCCTGTCTGCTCAGGTGGAAAGAGCTTGTTTTCAATTAGATGCTATTGGACTTCATCAGCTACCACACTAGTCAGCAATTTGAAAGTTGTTGGTAATTGGTAATTGGCCTATAGTTGCCTGGTGCTGCCCCTTTTGCTGGATCCTTCATTATCAGGTATATTTTGCCAGATGTTAGCCGCTTTTCAATTTTACCTCCTTGCAGTATGTTGTTAAACTGCTCGGCAACAAGTGTGTGTAGACTAGTCAGATGTTTCAACCAGTTCATTTTCACCTGGTGCTGACCAATTCTTGATCTTCCTTGCTCTTTTTTCTACCGTTTCTGCTATTATTACTAATTCTTTTATTTCAACTGCTTTTTTTATTCTTATCCACCTCCTTTAACCAAGCTGCATTCTTGTTGTATTCTTTGAGTTATCCCATATGTGGCCAGAGAACTACACTGTTTTTTCCTTATCAAGTAGTGTCTGATTGGTAGAAATGTTTCTGATTGGATTGAAATTGAAAGTTCTGCCTATAATTTGCATTTCACACTTTGTGTCTGCTGATCTTTTTGGCTATAACTGTTATCTGCTGCTTTATTATTTTCAGTGTTTCCTTGATCTTCCTTATTTCTAAGTGGTATTTCTTAGAAAATTGCAGAAAATACTAAGTGTTGAAAACTAGAGAACCTGAAATAGATTTAACAAAGTATATTTTGCAAAGGCTAGTGAGCACTATATGTCTCAGAAAAAAATTGTCTACATAATTATTTTAAACTGTACAACCCATTTAAGCATTACCAGTCATTTACACATTTACACATTATGAAGTGTTGCCCATAATTCTGAGAAGGAACATAGTTGAGAATTGTGTCCACAATAAACATGTTAATGTTTGGGAACCCAAAGTCCATCACATAATAAAATTGTTTTACACATTATTTACTGAATGAGGACATTTATTCTCATTCTTTTTAAAGGAAAGGCTAAGAAAGAATTGGCCTTTTTTTATCCCAGTAACACTATCCTCATTGTTGGATTTTAATTAGGGATAGGTGAACATTGTCACAAGAACGCACACAAAAGTTCCAGTTTAGATGCAATTCTTAGCACATCAGACTCGGAATGTGAAAGCCCAGTTTCAAAGAGTTTCCAGTTTCAAGATTTTCTTTATTCAGGGAATAAATAGAAAATGGCTGCCTATTACAATATTTACCCTGAAGTCACACATTTTAAAATATTATTTAATGTGGCAACATGGAGGTCGATTGCAGGAACGATGGGACAGCCGCGCATGGCAGAAGCGCTTTCTGGAGCCAGAGGGGAGGCTGGAGAGATTGCCCCACCCACCACTGCCCAGATACACTCGCTTCCCAAACCATTTCTTTTCTGACCTTTTTTCTTCATCACACACCTACCCCCTCCCCTGTTGCTGAAGAGCTGGCCTGGTATTTACAGCGGGCTGCGGAGCCCCAGAGTGCGCCAGTCGAGGGACCAGCAGGCTGTGGCTGTTAATGGACACCGTCGGCCCCCATGCGCTCGCTGTCCTCTGTATGCGGGGGCTGATGGTGTCAAGGTGGCCCCTGCCTCGCCTTGCCCCATGGCAATGGCAGCCCCCCTGCCCCCTGCCTCACCTCGCAAGTTAAGCCTCCTGCCCACTGCCCCACCTGCCAGAGACCCCCTGATCTCCCCCAACCCTGCCCGGCCCCCACAGTGTCCCTCCCCACGAGCAACATCGAGGTGGCCATGCCTACCCTGGCCACGCCCACCCAGTCTACCAGGGCCAGCATAGCCACACCCACCCAGTGGGCCACACCTACCTGGCACATAAGTGGGTTTTGGGTTGCATTTTGGGCACTCAATCTCTAAAAGGTTAGCCACCACTGCCATATGGGGTTAACAAACAATAAAATAATCCTTGTTTCATTATCCACAGTTGTTAGGCTGGGATGGACCTCCGCAAATAACAGGGTCCACATCTACACACAGCCCACCAAGTATGCAGACAGCGTATCTATAAATCACACAGATCCTGTAAAAATATTTGGAAGTAGCAGTCCAATCCTTTTCTCAATATATCAGTTGTGGATAGTGTGAACCTGTTCACGTCTTACAAAATAGTACATTTGGTTATATACAGCCAAATCTGAACATCTTGTGAAGACTGCCCAATGTTCTGTTTAAGAGGGGCATTTTGCAGGGTGGCCACTCTTTTGTGTGTTTTGTGAATATAATCATGTCTTCTTCAGAAAAACAAACTAAGATTTCTTTCAATGCATTTCTTTCAATGGGAGAGCAGCATCAACTCCATAAATTTTATGGAGCGTCTGGAGAAGCCAAGCCGATTAAATATCAACTTAACTCCTGTTCCAGAGGAAATGCTCCAAAGACAATTTGGCAGTACTCCTTTGGGAGTTACGGAGCAGACAGTCTTATTGGCAAAAACTCCTGCCTTGTTCTGTTTTCTGAAACTTCTCCCTTCACCTAGGTGTTAAGGCCTTTTTCTCCTTCCTGCTAACCCCTACCTTCCACCATCAACCAGCTCAAGAAGAAGAGGGGGAGGGCATCTGTGAGATGCTGTGAAAATGCAACTTATGATTGACAGAACTGGTGGCCTTCTAGAAATACTGAGGCTGAATATACCATTAGAGACAGGTGGACATGTGCAAGGTCATCACATAGCATCAAGGAAGTATAAGAGTTCTTTCTGACCAAGGAAATCTTATTCAAATGAGAATAAAAGAAAAAAAAAAGTAAATTTGCTCAGATCTAATTACAAGTCGGCAGTAAAGGATGTAAACAAGGATTTTCATGAGCATACACTAGTAAAGTTGTTAAACAGATAGAGTATAAAGAAGTAAAGTAAACACTGGAAGTACTGAACATTAGACATTTGTTGACAACTGAAAATAATAAGATCAGTGGGACTAGATGGATTAGTTTTAAAACAGCAAAAATGTGAATGTGCTGTTCTTCTAACACAGAGTTTTATAATCTTGACAATCTTAAAATGTATAGATTTCAACTACTACAATTCTCCAACAAGTATGCTGGCTGGAGAATTCTGGGAATTGAATCCACATATCTATTGTCAAGGCTGAGAAACCTTAGCAAAAGGATGTGACTGGTCCTTGAATTATCCTTTCTATCAGAGACCTAAAAACGTCCAGTCTAATGCCAAGAAAGAAATCGAATCGTAGCCCAACATGGATGCTTTAAGACATACAGTAGCTCCATTGGATAATGTAAGTCAGGGGTCTTCAAACTTGTCCCTTTTATGACTTGTGGACTTCAACTCCCAGAATTCCTCAGCCAGAGTGCTGAAGTACACAAGTCATAAAAGGGCCAAGTTTGAAGACCCCTGATGTAGGTGATTCCTATAGAAAAAGGGATAACTATACAGGAAGGCAAGTTGTGTTGACCTTCACATAGTTGTAAGGGATTCAAATATTTTATTTGATTTTTTCCAAATAATATTTACTTATCTCATTTAAACCATTTCCTGCATTCCACCTTTGGTTTGAAATATGTTAAGCACCAAATACATTTAAAAAAACACACACGAAAACAAAACAATACAGTCTACAATTAGAATGGTAGACCTTTTGCCCAAAGAAGAAAAGAACAACTGGATGGCACTTACTGATTGGTCTGTTGTCTTTCCTGTCAAGATTGCCCTTGCCTTGGCTTTGGTCAGGGGGAAAGACTTTATGTAGGAATCGTAGAGCAGCTTGGCCAGGGCTCGCAGATCAGCAGACTCAGGGTTCAGCTGGTCGATGTCACTTGAAATCTCTGCCAAGAGTTTCTCTTTCTCAGCTTGTGGCATTCGCCCAAATCTAATAGCTGAAAGGAAGAAAGGCAACAGTCATAAACTGCACCTAGCTGATCTCTATTGTGTTGTAATTGCATTTTCTCTCCACCACCTTTTACAACTTTACAAGATGGATTTCTTTTAAGAAAAAGGGCATTGAAAATAATGGGAAAAAAATTATCAGCTCATAAAATGTACCAGCGATGAAGAGGGAATGAGGGCATCCCAGTTTGGTGGCACTAAACTTTGACTCTGACTACCTGTTTGGTTGGCTTATTTATGGCATTTAGCTAATTCAGGAGAAGTTGGTGGCATTTTGATGGAAACCAGACCACTGATTTTCATTGATCATAGTAGCGTGGCCCATGTGACCTGAACTGTAATATAAATATAATAAATGAATGAATGTACTGTTACATAAGACACATCATTTTCTGACAGTCCAATATAGCTCTATGCTATAAGACAGAACCCACTTCCATTACAGTTTCCAATATATCCTGCTATAAAGCAGAGTTAAAATATTCTATCTTATTTCAAATTTCAGAGAGAGAGAAAAAAGAAAACTAGCATATCCATAGAGAGCAGAAGTGTATAGCGTGAATTTAATTACTTTCCTTTTCCCTCTCTACTATTCGTTGTAATGGAAATCATGAAAAATTGCTTATGTTTGCTTTGGATTCTAACTGCAATATAATGTTTCCTCTCAGTGGAAAAGCAGTGCTCTATATTACCATCACTGGTGACCAATCATTGTTAAATCACCTCCTTTCTTGTCTTTGAGAAAAATGGCTTTCCACACATCTGAGTACAATCCATGTTGCGTAAAGACTCTGAATTGGAATAAAGAGAGTACCTCCTAAACTGATCTTTTTCTACTAGGGGAATAGACATGTTCAGGATGCTGCTTAATGTGGGCTAAAAATCCTAAAATTTACCTATAAGGCTATTTTTCTTTTCTATGCTGAAGGCATAAATAATTTGAAGAGACAAATTGTTTACTCTAGTAGAATTTCAATGATTTCAAAAGAAGGTTTCTAGATTAAAGCCAGAAATAAACATATTGACACATAATATTAGGACTTAAAAGTTATCTGTATGTGTGTTTGTGTTCATATGCCTCTTTTGTCTATCTCTGTGTAATACGCTGCAATCAGTTTTTCTGTATAGAAATTATTCTACCATAGAAAAGATAAAAGTGATTTGGTTTCAGCAGAATATTTTAATTCATTCCTTCTATTATCTGAATGTTAAAAGCATGAAAGAAGGAAAGTTCAAAATTGTCAAAGCACCAAATAAGTGTACTAAATTGTATGTTTTAGGAATAAGTGATTTTATGTGGTGTAGTGATTATAGTGCTGGCCTAGAAACCAGCAGATGATGAACTCTATGCATCCCTTCGCCATGAAAGCCGGCTGGGTGATTTTGGGCCACTCTCTCTCAACTCAACCAAATTCACAACATTCTTGTGAGGAACACAGGAGGCAGGAAAATTAGGTATGTTTGCTGCCTTGATAAAAAGGCAGGATAAAAATACAAATATAATAATAAAAATAAAGATATAAAAAGGCAGGATAAAAATCTAACAAGTTCTTCAAAGAAGGCATGAATTAAAGCATATAAGGAAAGGCTGCTGGAATTGGGTATGTCTAGTTTAATGAAGAGAAGGACGAGGGGGGACATGATAGCAGTGTTCCAATATCTCAGGGGCTGTCACAAAGAAGAGGGAGTCAAGCTACTCTCCAAAGCGCCTGAAGGCAGGACAAGAAGCAACGGATGGAAACTAATCAAGGAGAGAAGCAACCTAGAACTAAGGAGAAACTTCCTGACAGTTAGAACAATTAACCAGTCGAACAACCTGCCTCCAGAAGCGGTGAATGCTCCAACACTGGAAGTTTTAAAGAAGAGACTGGACAGCCATTTGTCTGAAATGGTATAGGGTTTCCTGCCTGAGCAGGGGGTTGGACTAGATGACCTCCAAGGTCCCTTCCAACTTAATAACAACAACAACAACAACAACATTCTTCCATGGTGATCGTTTATGTGGGCAATCCACACAGATAACTAGTCCTTTACTTAGGATTGTTCTTTTAGTGATGGTCTAAAGTTTTATCAGCTTTGGAAAAAGTGACTTAAGACCTATATTTGAACTTACGACTATTAGTCCATCCCCCCCACTCCCTCACAATGATGTGACTGCAATTCTGGCACTTGACACTTGCATTTACAGCTGGTTATAGTGTACTGTGGTCACACAATTGTGATTTGTGGTCTTCTTTTTTTGCTGATTTCTGGCAAAAAATATGGCCATTGGAGAACAACCACATGATTTTCCACTGTGATTTGCCTAATGCCCATCATAAAAATTGTTGTAAAATTGTGTCTGACTCGACTTACAGCCAAATGACAACACAGAAATTTTGGTCCCAATTGTGGTCATAAGGTGAGAACTACATTTTGTAATGAAAATAATTCTAACAATATTCATGTATTTAGAAACTGGGGCAAAAGATCCAAATTGCCCATGTTTAAAAATGCATGTAGTAGAGTGGAGACAATCCAGTTGAAAATGTTGGTGGTAATATATGAATTAGAATGAAATGGATTATTATTTGCAAGATCAAAGACTTTCTGCTTCCTATGGAGGGAGGCACTATTATTTATAATCCTCATGTACAGCATGTTTCCATGGATGCCAAACTTTATAGCCCTTAACATGCATCGCTGTCATATTTACTTACAATAAACTCAAGCAAAGCACACAATACCATTAACAATCTGAGAATTTCTAGATTAGTGCTATATAAACCATAAATTCTGGAGTTCAACAAAAGCTATACTTGTAATTTTTCTTCTGTATATGTAGGCAGCAAGTATATACATTGGAAAAGGAATTACCTAAAATAATTGATGGAACTTTGCAACAATCCAAATTCTAGATTTTTTTACTTTCAATATGTAAAGAAAGATTGTTGTGTAGAAGCTTAAGGAATTTGGTGGTCCAGTGCAATACTAAGTATGAAACTCACTCATAGCCCTAGTTAATATTACAGATGGTTTCTTGCTAAAGCAGATAAAAGTTTTGCATCCAAAATAGAATATCCACAGCACCTGAACTAAATATATATCTGGAAGAATTGTACTGGATCATTACTGAGTAAAATCCTGTTTAACAGAATACTTAATTGGTCAATGTAACCTTTGGGTAATAAAAAGCTGCATTTACTAATGGTTAGACCATCTTCCTTAAACATCCAGTCAATCCTTTCTATTCAATGGCTAAGAAGGCCTATGCGTGTCGTTGCCTCTCCAAAATTCCAACAATCTGAGAACATAAGAATGGAATAATAGAGGAAGGTCCTGAAGTAGTTGAATTATGGGTTATTTGCTTTTGCACCCTTGCTCACCCATACTACGGTCTATTTCAGCCTGCTGCTTTGCTTATGGGGACCCCTTACTTTGCAAAGGTCCAAAACAGATTCAATTCCTTAAGCAAATGCTGCTGTGTGGAGAAACAACCTAGAACTAAGGAGAAACTTCCTGACAGTTAGAACAATTAACCAGTGGAACAACCTACCTCCAGAAGCGGTGAATGCTCCAACAATGGAAGTTTTTAAGAAGAGATTGGACAGCCACTTGTCCGAAATGGTATACGGTTACCTGCCTGAGCAGGGGGTTGGACTAGATGATTTCCAAGATCCCTTCCAACTATTATTATTATTATTATTATTATTATTATTATTATTATTATTATTATTATTATTACTATTATTTGTGTACATGTCTGTCTACATGCATAAATAACAGCAGACTGGATCTGATGTCATTGAAAATAGCAATAGCAATAGTACTTATATACCATTTCATAGTGTTTAACAGCCCTTTCTAAACAGTTTACATAGTCTATACTTTCTCTAAAATGCATGTAAAAATCTTTATTTTTCTCAGTAAGCTGTAGTCTCAGTCTTATGCAATTTCAGAAGGTCCTTGAACTGTTTTACTGGGAGGCAGTCTGATCTTTAAGCTCTGATATATATCTTTTGCTAAATAAATCTGTTTGTGAGAACTATTTCTCACATTGATAAAAGCACTGACAGTTATCAACACAGGAAATGCCTACTGTCCCATCTTCACAAGACTTATTTCTTTTCTACATCAACAAAACAGGAGAAACAGACAAGACTCTTGCTGTTGAATTGTTAATATATACTATAGGCATCTTATCTAAAGTGTTATAACTTTCTAATAAATTCTAATACAAATATTATTAATTATTGGTCTTGGAATTTTGTTCCTTGAATTAATTCTTTCCAGTCAAGGCTGCAAAGAGGAAAGTTTGACTACTCTTTTCTAATTTCACTCCAATTGCCTTTAGCCAACTTGGTTGGAAATTAATTAGAATTCAAATCCAATATTTCTGGAGAAAACAAGATTATGCAAAGCTATGCTAACTTAATTCACAGAATCATTAAGGATGGATCCTTTATCATTCGTGATATGGAATCTGATATCTCAAAAAGTTCAGGTCACTGGATTCAGTTGTATATTAGAGCCCTATGTCTTTCTATTCTGTCTTAAAAAATCCCATACATTTCACTATTCTTCCATAATAGATAATATATACTGTTCAGAATGGGCTTAACTAACAAAGTATGTGTGTCCATATGAGGTTCTATAAAAATATTTTCACAGCAATATTTTTTCCTTTAAAATAACATCAGGTTTGAGAAAATACTTCTCATAACAATTTATTTGTTGGTAATAAAAAACAAGTTAAGAGTTTCTTCTGGCGTCAGGAAACTAAATTTTATACTGAGAAAATAAAAACCACAGAAAAGATATTTTCCCAGTAATGTTTGCAATTCTTTAGTTTTTTAATTACATAAGACTCTGTTATGACATTCTATTCCTGTTTTTGTTTGGCTTTGCCAGGGGAGAGAACAGAATCTTCACTAGAATTCATTCTCTTAAGATTTATAACATTAAATATTTTCTCATAAATTTATAGCATGAACTTAAATGGTCTTTAAAT